AATGGTTATTCCCATATTTTGAGAAAGCTGATTGCTAAAACATATTTCTGGTTAGAATATCCCGTGTATGATATACTACGCTTACGCATTTTTTAATTAAATTTGGCCTAAAAATAATTGAACATTTCTAAATTAAAAAAAAAAAAAAATCAAAAATCAAAAATCAAACTACAGTGCAACGTCAATTCTCAGAATTTACAGGAGTCGTGGGTGCCTGGGATAATATTTTTTTGGGTGGGATAAGCGAAGACAACCACAAAGGTTTCAATAAAGAAGTTAGTGTACACACTACCACAAATGGTTATTCCCATATGACGCGTTCATGTATAAATGTATTAGCCTTACCGCACGATGTTAACAGGTTGATTGATTGTAAAAAAAACAACAAAAAAAAAACGGTTATTCCTTTGTTTCACGATAAAACGTTATTGTTCCTCCTCCCCACCCACCCCCCCCAAAAGCAAACGCTAACCGATGCCTGACGCAAAAATAAAAATGTCAAAGTTCACTTGACAATTTGAAGCTTGTATTGTTCCGAGTATAGGCCACGGGGTTCCAAACCCACAATCTTAGTCTTAGAATTAGCAGTGTTGTCTAACATCAAGATGCTGCCAAAAAGTTTTAAAGTAAATTTAAAACTAAACCGACCCTAAAAACAACGTTTTTCGTATAAATCCTTTATAAAATAAAAAAACAACAACAAAAAACAACCCCACTAGAGCAATGGGGTGGGGCTGATAATTTGAAATACACGTGGATGCAAGTTACGCACTTTATAAGAATGCCACTTACTCCCCCCCCCACACACACACTTTCGAAAAGCCTGCAACCGCAAATTTTGTTCAAGCCCCATAATTATATTAATATTCTTATGACCGACTTGCTTTTACACCGCAGATTTCTTTCACCAACTACACATTTGTGATATTGTTTTTAAAGAATCTAATTTGACGCAGTCGTCGGGAAGTTTTCCTCATGTTCCCTTGAAAAAACAAGAAAAAACAGAATAATTTTTGCGGGTTGGGGGCTTAAAATTTAATAGAATTTGTTGTCACCGACGACAAATTTATTTGCCAAAATTCAGCTGGATGGGGAAACGAGAAATGGGTCAATTAGCCGTCTGAAGATTTTGCCAGCCAGCCAGCCAGTCCGCCAACCAGCCACCCACGAATGGAAGTGAAGGTAATATAAAGGATACAAAAAAATAGCACCAACTTTTAAGGGCACCGCCTACAATCACGGGGCGCGGCTTGTACTCGGACGAGTAGGCTTACTTCAGGTAACACTTGCTGGTCACTCACTGCACGCGCATTATGCATCTAGAAGTTAACTGGGATTGTGGGATTGATCCAAATTGTTTTCCTGGGATACCTGGATTGCTGTGTGACCTGCTCCGCGACTGCTCCGCGACGTGCGCATCTTCTAAGATAATGAGAGTACTATTTTTATCATTTTTTTAAATTCAAAAAGCTTAGTCAGTATAACCGACCTCCGGTTAAGCGATGCGTTGCAAAATTGACGCTCTACTGTTTATTTTTAAATTAAACGTTTGGCAGATAACGTTGATAATCAAATTTTTTTTTTACTCCGAAATTTTCTCATTAGATTTCTACAGGAGACGCTGAGGTTGAAGAAAGTGTTTCGTTCCTGGAGAGATTTATTCACGCCCAGATGTTATTTATATTAGAAACTCTGCCGGGATTTCACAGAAAAAGCAAATGTTTAAAACAAGGTTATTTTGACGCGCTACTGCAGACGCTGGGACATTTATTTAGGAAGTGAAATTAAAATGAATTCACTTCGTTTTTTTCGTTTTTTTAAAACCAAGGGAGAAGCCTTACTTTTATTTTTTTTTTTTTAATGCGATCGAGGAAGTGATATACGCATACACACCAACTTCATAACCCCTGAATCCTGAGACATCTCTAAGGAAGTTCAGCATCGCCTAATGCTTATGATATACCCGACTTCATTTCATCCCTACGTCATTTAGTAAATGAGATCTTCTTCACTTGTTCGGCCTGTACCTCTGTAGGTACTGGCTTTTATTGTTACACGTATGTTTATGTTTCATAGTACATCAATGGAACAACAAAACAAAAAGCCAGTTAAGGAAAAAGAAAAAAACAACAACATTATTGCTGACGAGCCAAATCCATTTCTGAGCATGAGTTTTTGTCTTACGATGTTATGTCATCCAATTATAATATCATACTTTTGTAACTGCTAATATTTTAAAAAAAAATAACATATCGCACTAAGGAGGACAAAAAAAAACTCCAACTATTTGCATATAAAAACTGCTTGGAAACCAACACAGAAGTCTTACAATTTTTCTTACGGGTGTTGATAAAATGGGACAGAAAGAGAGAGATAGAGAGAGAGAGAGAGAGAGAGAGAGAGAGAGAGAGAGATTTTGAGTAAACTTAATTGATTGTTGTTTTGGAATATGTTATGTTATGATACACCATTTCTTGTGCACATAATGTACGGATGTGCTGAATATACCATCTTGATTAAGGACGATACATCGATCGGTATATCTTCATCACGGGAGGGTACTTAGATCGGGAGAAAATGTTGGAAGATTAAATCCTCCAGCAGGAATAGGAAGTCTGTTTATTTTAGAGTTAAAGGCTGGATTGATCTTTTTGGAGGATGATACTTTTATTCGATGATTTTGTTGTAGGATGATACTTTTATTCGATACATTTTGTTGTAGGATGATAGTCAGATTTGAAGATCTTTTGTAGGATGATTGTTAGATCGAAATATCTTGTTGATGGGTGATTCTTACATTGAAAGATCTTGTTGAAGGGTCATTCTTAGATCGAAAGATCTTGTTGAAAACTGATTCTTAGATTGAAAGATCTTTTTGAAGGGTGATTCTTAGATAGAAAGATCTTTTTGAAGGGTGATTCTTAGATTGAAAGATCTTTTTTGAAGGGTGTTTTGTTAGATTGAAAGATGTTTTTGAAGGGTGAGTCTTAGATCGGAAGATATTTTTGAAGGGTGATTCTTAGGTCGAAAGTTCTTGCTGAAGGGCGATTCTTAGATAGAAAGATCTTCTTGAAGGGTGCTACTAACATAAAAAAAAAATATTGATGAATATTGGTAGTTAATTGAAAAGATCTTTTTGAAGGGTGAATACTTGGATCGGCAGATCTGATCTTGTAAACGGTGATGCTTGGATCGGGGGTGGGCCGTTTGCTTTTTAGGCCACACTATTCAGGTGCTACATAATATTGCTCTCGGATGATGGTGAGATCGGGATTTGTACGTTTGGACAGCAATAATCCATTGTTTGAAGTTAAAGGTGTCTCTAGTTGCCTCATGCCTACATCAGTCGATATACAACAACAACAAAATTAAGATAAAACTGTGGCTCACGAAACTGCCTTGCCTTAAAATACTGGTCAATGTATACTTTTGAAATCATTCTAATTAATGGTTGAATAAGAAGATACTACCCACACCTATTTAACCAGGTTAAAATATTTTTACAACCTGCATTTCAGCACTAGGACTTCAACATTGAAAAAATCAACGCCTACCATAGACAACAGAGGAACGATTTTTTTTTTTTTACTGCTATCTTAGTTTCTATAATAACATTTATTGTTATAAAAAAAAAAGTGAACAAACTCCGCGCAATCTTAGGGAGGGATTGAAACTTTTTCTAATAGGCACACATTCAGATATAGAAAAGATTGAGACTTGGCCTGGGGGGGGGGGAAACCAGCGATATTAGGAGTAGTTGAAAACAGGCTACAGGAGGTACCGAACCATAATAGGTACAGGTTAAGTCAGACCCTGGAGTGAAATCATCTAGGTTGGAGAGATGTAAAGACTGGCCCTGGAGTGAAATCATCTTAGTTTGGGTGATACGCAGACTGGCATTGGGTTGAAATCATCTAGGTCAGGAGATGTGAAGACTGACCCAGGAATGAAATCATATAGGTTCTGAAGATGTGAAGACCAGGGTTTCTTTCAGGCATATCTCCGGGTAAAAAAAAAAAGGGGGGGGGGGCGCGGCAGTGTGCCCGGCGGGGAAAAAAGCAACCATCCCCCAAAACCAAAAGTGAAAAAAAAAAAAAAACTATGTCCAGATTGTATGCCGATGTTTTACTTTTATTTTATCTATTTTGTGCATAAAAATCTTTAAAAAGTCTTTCCCCATTCAAAAAGTAGAATAGAAGGATTGAATTTAAGTGTACTCAAAAATACACCCCTTGATTTTGAAATAGTTCAAATTTTTCTGGCGACCAGGCTCCGACCAAGATTCATCGGTATCTTAATTTCCGTGCTACTTCCCAATAAAAAGGATCCAATATTTTGGTATCGATAGATACAATGCCGAGTGACGAAGCTACTAATTGGTGCCGCCATGGTCGGCAAGATATTTTTGTCATCCTACCTTTCTCTATTCAAACTCTCCAGTTGTCCGAAGATGCCACGCATACCCACAGAGCCGTTCTTAGGACCAGACAAAGTAGGCGACCGCCTAGGGTCCCACTACCAATGGAGCCCCGCAGGGTGCCCATTTTTTTGTTTAGCCTACAACTTGCAAGTCCATATATTTCAGAACTTTTCGTTTTCTCAAGTGGCGGAATTATCAATATTGTTAGCGGTCACACACGAGCTAAGAGGAAAAAGAGACGAATGCAAAATGGAGGTGCCGCAGTGGTGGGTGGGGGGGTTTTCTCCTTAGCTCCAGGGGAGCACCATCCCCGGACCGCCCTTCTGCGGCCCTCTACCAACACTCTATGCCTAGGCCCCTCAAAATCTTAAGAACGGTTCTGCTGCATCTAAAGAAAATGTGACACCTGGGTAGACCACCCCCCACCCTATTTCGACGACACCAGCAGGGGCGTATCTACAGTTTTTGGCGTCAGGGGACGCCCCACTTTTTATTTAGAATTGAATATATACACATAGAACGATGGCGCAATCAAAAAGTTTATTTTTAGCGCGAAACGACACTTCCGTTACTTTCTTTCATTTAGAAAACTACATTATGATAATCATTTTTTTTTTTTTTTTTTGTAATTTGTTTTCTTTTTTTTTTTTTTTTTGGAAATACAAATTTTTTTTTTTGTTTTTTTTTTTTTTTTAGAAAATTACATTTTAATAATATTTTTTTTTTTTTTTTTTGGTAAGTGATCTACTATTTTAATTTTATTTAGGAAATACAAATTTCTATGTTGGTTTTATTTACAAAAATAATTAACAAATTTACCCAAGATACATCCCTATATTTTTATATTTTTTTATTCATTAAAAAAAACATTAATCCACTCACACACACAATTAAGTTTAATTGAATAACAAGTAATAATATGTAAGACATACCACTGGTGAGGACAGACACCTCCTTAATAACTAAAGAACGCTTGAAGGAGTGACCCGAATGTATGCAAACACAAATAACAATTCATTCATACGTTTTTAGCCATAATTGACCACTGGAGTTCGGCAAAAGGGTTAATTTTTTTTAAACATCAAATTAACAATGATGTAAAATGTATGCCATCACCATATTTTGATCTACACTACCTATAACTGTGGTGGCTTTCTTTAGATCAATAGTGCATGGAACCTTACAATTGAAATTAAATGCCTTTAGACATAGCTCTCTTCCCATATTTAAAATTATGAAACTAAAAGTTAAAAACGTCACAGCAAAAGAATAGTAAATCATGTGTAGCAAAATAATTTTTTTTTGTTTACGTGAAATATCAAAGGCCAAAAGTTCAAAAATTTTATAAAATTTATATGTTTCTAAAAAATTTCATAAAATTAGGTTTCGTTTAGCATCTGACCAAGTGTACCACTACAAAGCCACCTCGTTATCAGTGAACACAATAATTCAGCTATAGGATGCATCCAATCTGTCTGTGGGGATTTCTGGTAATCTCATGTTTAGCAGGTGGGTATAGAGATTGAATATTGGATTGAAGGCTAATAAATCAATACAAGATGAGGAGACGCAACAACGTGGTGCCTGGAACACAGGAAGGAGTGCATACTCTATAACAGCGTTTCCCAAACTGTTAAGTTTCACGGACCCGTGGACAAGTTTCGAAACTGCACCAGGGACCGGTGCCAGATTTATTAATTACATTTTTTTTTCTATTTAAACATCAATATTCCAGCTTTCTGGACCGGTAACTTAAGGCTGGCGGACCGGTGCCGGTCCACCGTTTGGGGAACACTGCTCTATAATAATAATTTGCTTAATTTATCCACCAATACTAAGTGGTATTTATTCTATATGCGTTTGTGTTCATCTGATACGTAGTACGGAGGAAGCAGGGAATCTCATTGAGATAGCAGCGGCATTCGTAATGCGGCGGACATCATCAACTCTTTGTATTAAAAAATAAAATTAATTAAAGACATTGCCATAAACCAATCATATATAATGTGATCAAAACATTTCAGATCATTGTGATCTTATTCTTCTTTTTTTTCCAACGTCCAAAAGAAAAAAAGAAATGCGTAGGCCAAAAACAATTATTTTCAAGACTTTTGGTCTCTTCTATAACTCGTTCCAGTCTTTATTAAATCATTTCCGTACTCTCGTTGTCCAGTGTTCTTGGTTTCTCCTTGTCACCTTTGACAGACAGGTAAGAAAACACCTTTGACAGACAGGAAAGAAAACACCTTTGACAGAAAGGAAAGAAAACACATTTGACAGAGAGTAAAAAAAACAACAACATTTGACAGACAGGAAAGAAAACACCATTGACAGAAAGGAAAGAAAACACATTTGACAGACAGGAAAGAAAACACCTTTGACAGACAGGAAAGAAAACACCTTTGACAGACAGGAAAGAAAACACCTTAAGATACGATTCACTAATCAGATTGATACTAATTAATCGAGCCCAAATCCGTTTTCATTCATACATTCCCTCGATCCTTTTTCCCTGGCAAAAGTGTGTTAAGAAGCGCTGGGCCTCGTCTGGGGTTCCAACCTAAACGAAATGTTTAGACATAGCCTTGTAGCACAGACACTATTGACAATGGCCAGTCGTTTTTGAACACAACATTCACAATCACAAGTCATTTTTGCACACAGTATTCACCACGGCCGTTCATTTTTACACACTGTTTTGTGCGACTCAAAATCTTGATAAATGGTGAAAAATCAACATCTAGCATGGATACAAGGTTATGAATCATGGAGAAACTATAACAACCAGAACAATGCTGAACGCTAGCAAACCGTCATCATTTGTGTTATTATTTGTGTTGTGCCCGATTTTTTTGTACAGAATATACAATTAAAAAAAAAACCTGAGCTTTTTCTTGTTTACACACCTTAATTTACTGTTAAAATATTTAAGTTAAAGAAATAGTCAAATATACAATTGAATAAGACGATTTTCTTGTATAATAGCTGGCCATTTTAGTGTTAAGCACGAAGTGCGTGGAGGCATAAATTGTTTCTCAAGGATTAACTCACACTTTTTCTCCACAGTGACCACAGTTCTGTGCCAGGATGAAGATGTGGATGAAAATTGCTTTGAGAGAATCGAAGAGTGCAAGAAAGTGGCATTTGATGAGGAAGATGAATTGTATTGTTATATGTTTTTTTTTCTTGCTTACGTTAGTGTTAGATAGCAGTTTAAGTTTAAGAAGAGTAGATGGCTTTTAAACAAGATTGCATGATATTTGAAAATGGCGAGATGGCGACTGAACAATATTATATGTTAGTTAAGGAATATCTGATGGTTTTTTAAACAAGAGTAGATGGTGACAGAACAAAACATATGTATTTTAAACAATATTTAATGGGATTTGATATAGATTAGTTGATAGTTACGAAAAGAGTAGATTTTGGTTGAACAGGATTAAAATGTAGTAAGATAAGAATCGATTGTGGTTGAACAAAGGCAGAGGGTGATAAAAACAAGTGTAGATATAAGTTAAATAAGAGTATACGGAGGTTGAACTAGATTGGATGTGATGTGGACAATTTTAAATAGCCGTTAAACAACATTAGGTCTTGGCTAAACCTGAGCATTTGGCGATTGAACTCTTGTGTCTTCCAGAAAAAGGTCCCAAGAGCAGACGAGGTGCTTCTCGAGTTTCAGGTGTAAGCCAGGGGAAGACTCTAAACGAGAGGAACTGAAGAAGAGAGCTTCAGCAAGAGCCGAAGGTTAGTAGATTCAAACGTTAATCTTCTTCTACTTCATGCAAGGGCACGCTTTTAGCAGGTGATGATGCGAGTTATTTCCGTGCAACAGTATAAACGGTGACGGAATAAGACCAGCATCTATATCAACAATGCACAGCATTTTGATAATAAATCAAGATGCAAGCGGTAGGCATGAGATTAAAGAAGACTTTAAAACACTTTGACATGGTTGCAACATACAGTTTTCATTCTTATGTATTTTAGGAAATAATTCATTATCACCAGATTTTAAAATGTACTAATTAAAAAAAAAACCACCATAAAATGACTTGGAACAATTGTTTTTGTGTCAGTTAAATTCCAAGAAAAAGAGTCGGAGCTTAGTCATAAAATGTCTTTGTAAAAAGGAAATTGGTTTAATTTGTCCACTGCTTTACAATGCTGTGTTAATCTCGATTCATTCTACCTCAGTTTCGTTTCTCTGTCTCCTAACACTATACCTCTCCTTATTCATTTCCAACTTTATCACATAAAGCCTAACTCTAATTGTTCGTTTGATCGCACATTTCCCTAACGCTAAAATTTGCAATGTTCATTTAATGACATACTCACCTAGAACTTTATATCTCATTGTTCTTTTCATCCCATTATCGTTTAACGTTCCCACGTTGTTTCATGCTTGTATCCTAACGCAATATTCAGGTCTCTCATTTCATCAGTCTATCTCATTACGCCTCACATCCCATTGTTCATGTGATCACTCTTTCTCACAACGCATCACATATACTTTAATCTTTTTCTCAAAGTTGTATGCCATTGCCGTATCTCAACGCAACTTCTAGCTCTGTCCCCTATCGCCGCATCTAACACTCGTCATCAATCTTGTCGCCAGATTTCCTAAGTTCATTTCAACATCCGTCCCTCAACGCCATAAGCCCCAGCTTTCATAAATTGTTGCCTAACGTCGTATCTCCTATTGTCTAGAATGATGTTTCATTATGCCCCACTTCACATTGAGAATCAGAATGACTCCCATCGACAAGCATCCCATTGTTCATCAAATTTTTTTCCTAATGCTAGACCACGCTTTTAACTTTTCATGCACCTGTTACCTAAGGCCATACCTTTCATTGTTTATCACGCTTTCCACCTTACGCTATATTTCCCACTGTTCATCACAATGTCTCTTACAGCTAAACCTCCAATTGTCCATTTTGTCCCACTGCCCCTAAACGATTGTTCATGTTCAAACATTGGCATCTAGTGCTTTACATTCCGTTATCATCACCACGTTCTCCTGTTGATCCCCCTTGTCAATTTCATCACACTTTCTTCTAAACAAAACAATCACATTTGTTAATTTCAAGACACTTTTTTTTTGTTGCCATAACTCCATTTCGACATTATGTTGTCTATTAGTGCCAAAAAACCACCATTATTAAATTTCATCACATTGAATTTTCACGCTACGCTTCAAATTTTTTAAAATCAATTTGTCTCCTTATGTCACACCTCCCATTGTTCATTTCACGACGCTCTCTCTTAACGCCATACCTGACATTGTTCATTTCATCAGCCTGTCTCCAAAAACCATATCTGACATTGTTCATTTCATTAGCCTGTTTCCAGACGCCATATCTGACATTGTTCATATCACGACGCACTCTATTAACGCCCTACCTGACATTGTTCATTTCATCAGCCTATTTCCAGACGCCATACCTGGTATTGTTCATTTTATCAGCCTGTTGCCTAGAATCGTATCTCACCTTGTTTATCGTAATTTTTCTTAACCCCATAGCTCACAGTGATTACCACATTTTCCACTGATTCAGTACATCCCATTTTCATAACAATGTGTCCGAAGACCATACTTCCCATATTTTATTTCACCTGTCTGTGCCTTAACGCTGTACTTATCATTGCTCATTTCATCAAGCTGGCTGCAAACGCCATGCATTGCTTATCAACGTGTCTCATAACGGAATACATCATAGGTTTTTAGTTGTTGCTCTTTTTTTTTACCTAGAGTAATGTATTTTCTATGGTTTATCTAGCTATGTCTTAAAGCCATAACTTACATTGTTCAAGTCGTGAAGGAGAGCATACATAAATACACAACTCCCTCCCCCTAGACTGATAATGACGTATCTCCCATTGCTCAACATGCTGTAACATTTAATCCTCCTATCTCGTAACGTCAGACGTTACGTAGTTAATCACACCAACGCCCCAGATTCACAACGCTGTCTTCTTATGCAGCGCCTCACATTTTTTTTTTCATTACACTGTCTCCTACCGCCATACCTCTCATTGTTCATCATGCCGTCTCCTACCACCGTACCTCACATTTTTCCTTTCTCCACCTCTTAGCACCATAAAACTCAATTTTTGTTACTCTTCTTCTACCGCTATCACTCGTACTGACATTCACTGCGACCGCTCCCCGAAACCCAAATCTAACTGAACAATCTGTTGTTGGCACACATATATTAAAGTTAATACGTTTAAAATTGTTGGTATTTTTTTTTCTCTCTTCATTTCTGAGATTATTAAGTGTCATAAAATCCACTTTATTTTCATTGTTTAGCTTTTTGGAGTCGCCGATCAGGATTTCAGCGACGCAAGAGTGAAAGTATTGCCCCGGCCAACAAGATAACCTTTCAGTTCATGGCTGCCTGCTTGGTTGCAGTACTCTGCGTGACTCACTGCTGAAAGTAGCATTGGTTACCTTTTTCTTCCCTCCGATTCTTTCAACTTATGTTTTCCTAGGCATGTTGTGGAAGTAGTAAGATATACATCTTACGGCCAATTCCTTTTTAATAATATTTGATTATGTTAAAAAAATACTATTTTATTTTAAACAAGTTTTAATAGCATGGAAATTAGTTATCATAATGAGTAAGAAAATGTCTCTACATTTTGAGGTATGCATTTTTGTTAACATCTTAATGAAACGTAATTATATTAAACAAATACCAAAGGTCTGTGATTTCAAACTGTAAAAGTTGTTCATCTCCTTCATTTTATTTTACTTTCAACATACATAAGATACCACAAAGTAAACCTAGCAAACCATTTGTAAACATAGTAAACCATGGTAAATAAAAGAGCCGAGCTGTAAACTTAAGAAACCACAGGCGAGCATAAGGAGACCACACGTAAACAAAAAAGGCAACGGGTGTACACAAGAGACCACGGGGATATGTAAGAGAGCTTAGGTAAACATAACAAACCACAGGCAAACGTAAGATAACACAGCCTAACTTTAGAGATCACAGGTGAACATAAGGGACCACAGGTAAACATAAGATACCAAAGGTAAACATAAGATACCATAGTGAACATTGCAAGGCATAGATGAACTTTAGAGAACACAGGTAAATATAAGGGCTCACAACTAAAAAAAGAGACTACAGGTAAACATAAGAAACTTAGAAACATTTGAGATTACAGATAAACATGAGAGAACATAGTAAAAATAAGAGTCCACAAGTGTACATAAGAGACCACAGGTAAACCTACGATGCTTCCAACAAGATACCACAATTAACATAGGTAAACATAATAAACCATAGTAAATAAGAGAGACGTCATGTAAACTTAAGAAACAACAGGTAAACATAAGATACCACAGATAAACTTAAGATACCATAGTAAACTTAGGAAGTCATAGGTAAATATTTGAGGCAACATTTAAATATAAGAGGCCACAGGTAAACATAAGAGACCACATGTAAACATAAGATACCATAGGTGAATATGAGAGAACACAGGTAATCATATGGGACCACAAGTAAACATAGGAGACCACAATAAAATATAAGACACAACATGTAAACAAAAATGAGATAGTAAACACAGTAAATCATATGTAAACTTTAGAGACCATATGTAAACATTAGAAACCACATGTAAACAAATGATGCCACAGGTGAAAATAATATACCACACAATTTATAAAACATTTCAGGTAAACATAAGATACAATAGTAAACACAGGAAGTCATGGGTAATTATTAGAGACCATATGTAAATATAAGAGGCCACAGATAAACACAGCGACTACAGGTAAACATAAGAGCCCACCAGTAAATATAAGAGACCACAGATGTACATAAGAGACCACAGGTACACATAGGAAACCATAGGTTAACATTATAAATAATTGTAAAAGAAAGAGACGCCAGGTAAACATAAGAGACCATATTAAATATAAGAGACCATATTAAACATAAGAGACCATAGTAAACATTAGAAACAATAGTAAACATAAGAGACAATATTAAACATTAGACACCATGGTAAACATAAGAGACTATCGTAAACAGTGGAGAACATGGTAAACATAAGAGACCATTGAAACATTAGAGACCATGGGAAACATAGGAGACCACGGGTGAACGTAAGAGACCTCAGGCGAACATGCGAGACAACGGGTGTACATAAGAGACCACGGGTAAGCAAAAGAGACCACAGTTGAACATAAGAGACCACAGGTAAACATAAGAGACCACAGGTAGACACAAACTATAAATTTAAAAAAAAACTCAGCTCATGCTGTTTGCAACCATGGGGGCAAAATTACTTAGTGTAACAATTATTTGTCGTCGGAGAAAGGTAGTCTTTTAGTTGGGGTAAATGCCACCCCTGTACTAATTTAAGATTTTGCCACCAGTTCTTAAAAAAAAAATTTAAAAAAAAAAAAAAAGCTAAGCAAATTTCCGAACATGCCACAATTTCAGAGCAACTGGGGAGGGCATACAATTGGGGGCAAAATTAATTAGTGTAACAATTATTTGTCGGCGGAGAAAGGTAGTCTTTTAGTTGGGGTAAATGCCACCCCTGTAATAATTTAAGATTTTGCCACAAGTTCTTAAAAAAAAAATTTAAAAAAAAAAAAAAAAGCTAAGCAAATTTCCGAACATGCCACAATTTCAGAGCAACTGGGGAGGGCATACAATGTTAGACACGAGAAGAAGCGTACCCAGGTTCTGCTCCGAATATTTCAGTAAAGTGTATTACAAAACGACCACACAATAAGTGCCAATATGATTTTTTTTCTGCCTCAGACCAAAGGTATGAAAATTTAGGACTGGCGAATAGCGATTTGTTGGCTATGTTTACATGTATAAAAAACAAACACGGCATTTCAGTAAATGAACTGTTATAAAGGTATCACTGTGAACCAATGTAAGCAAGTTACTTTATCTTAACTTAACTTTATTTGAACTTACTTATCAAAATAATGTATTATTTTATTATTATTATTATTATACGTGGTTTTATATAGCGTGGTACCCAAGCCTAGGGCTAGGCTCACCACGCTGTACATACAATTTAACAAACATAGTAAAAAAACTTTTAAAAAATTAATTGACATACATTAATGAAACTAAACAAAACAAATGTTTATTTAAAACTATTTACATGTCAAGTCATGGATGACACTCAGTACCATCGTTTTTCAGTCAGAGGTGGGAATCAGTCAGGATAGTAGAAATTAAAGAGATGGTGTTTTGATTTTAGTTGTGAAGCTTGTTCGGTATATTGCGGATGCGTAATGGAAGAGAATTTCATGGTTTAGGGGCACAGAAAGAGAACGATCGTTCACCGTATGTATTTGTACGATTCTTCGGGACAGAAAGAATACGCGCGTCTGTGGAGGAGCGAAGCTGTCGAAAGGATGAATAGACAGAGAGAAGTTCGGTTAGATATGAAGGGGAGGAATTCGAGAAAAAGTTGTGGCAGAGAACAGAGAGTTTGTAGTCAATCCGTGCTTCTGTAGGGAGCCAATGAAATGAATAAAGTAGTGGTGTGACGTGATCACGTTTTCTTGCCTTTAGAATTAGCCTAGCGGTTGAGTTTTGAAACTTTTGTAATTTTTCTAAGAAGTGTTTTGGTGAACCTGATGGAAGAGAATTACAATAGTCAAGGCGAGAGATAACAAGAGCACAAACTAGGGTTTTTTGTTGCACTAACTGTAAGGTATTTGCGGATGGAGCTTATCTGACGAATAGCAGGACGAAATCCACATGCCTGGGGATTATTCTTCTAGGATTATAAGCTGGTTCCCAACAGCTAAACGCCTCTCTCCACGCCACTGGATAACCCAAGGGAACATCACGTGCTTGAATTCAGAGTTTCCTTCTCTTCGATGAGTCCCATGCCCCCGGGGTGCTGGTGATGTTTTTGCGTGACTGTTCATTGGTGGCGACTGAACTTCAGACTATCAACTTGATGTGTGGTCAGTTTATACCAGTCTACCACTCGAACTCATGGCCACTTCTAAATGGTTTAATTTGATGTTAATAGTGGTAAACTGATGTAAACGGTGGTATGTAACGTAAATGGTGGTAGGGGATGTAATAGTGGTAGGATTCTTGTAAATTGGCTTGATGCCATGTTGTATAGTTAATTTAATCGACATGTTGTTTGAGCAACATGATTGACGTAATGAATAGGGTTGGTTATAGTGAAATGTTGGTGTAGAAGGGGAGGGTGGATATAACGGGGGATTGTAAATGTAATGGCGGAGGTTTAGCGTAATTTCGGCCATTAGACATGACGAGGGTGGATTGATGCAATTTAAAATCGTTTTTGTATTGAGAAGGGTTGATGTAATATGAAAAGATTGATGTCATATGGAAAGGTTGATGTAATAGGAAGGTTTCTTGACATAAAGAGGGTTTATGTAATGGTGTAGTTAAGTGTTGAGTGTTATGTACTGCTGTAGTTTCGTCTTAAGGGAAGTATTCATAGGTTTGGGTGAGAGGCTTGGAGTTATTGGGGGGAGGGGTGGGGGGTCAGGTTCAGCTGGAGATGTTTAAATGACTTGACAAACGTGACCAGGAGATTCCACCTAGTTATGTGGTAGGACTAAGGTTGTAAGTGATGAAGAGTGGTAAGGAAAGGAGATGATAGTGATGTTGAGAGGCTCTGTGTTGAAAGGGTGATTGGAATTTTAAAACAAGATAAATAAAAGCGAACCACTGCTTGCTAGAATTTGCATTAACTATTTGCGAGAACCCCCGAGCATATTTTATTTGATCAATATCGGAGATGTGCAAGAGCAATACACCTACAATGATGACGCAATAAAAGTTATTTTGCTTAAAACGAAGCTTCCGGTACTTTCTTTCCGCGAGAAAACCCAAACAATGAACGTAAGTAATTTGCTATTTAATTAAGGAAATGAAATGTTCATTTTGGTTTTATTGACAGAAAAAACAAACAAACAATGATTGAACAATCCTATATTAAGCGTTGATTTTGTAGCATTATTACTCAGGCTTTTAAAAAAATCCAGACACATTTTTGAGTAAGATCTGTTTTGTAATCGTTTGAACTTCACTGTCTCACGACTAGAGCACAAGGGAATGACTGAGCGTGCACTCCGGAAGACAAAGTACATAAATATTGTTTTCATAAATTTTTAGCAATATGTGACCACTTGACATGGAGCAAATGGTTATGTTAAAAAAAATTCACAATTACTATCAGGCACGCTATTGGTAGAACTTGATCTACAACTGGGGTAACTTTATTTAGATCGAATGTGATATAAGTTGTTTTTGTGGTTCGAATTATAAGATTTTTATTAAAGAAACGATACAGCTAAAAAATAGAAAAGTTAACTGTATAAGAAATAATTACTGGCTTACGTGAAATCTCAAAACTGTAACAAGGAACCCCAAAATGAAACACGTAATTTGGTGACACTTTTTAAACACTTGGGTTCTATTTTTTAAACGTTTTAATCATTTATTTATTAATTTTGCTTTATTAAAATAAAGTATGTGTTGTTAGTGTAGTTATTTCTTTTCTTTTTATTTCATGTGCTTAAAAAAAATCAAGACCAATTGATATAAATTTTTGTTAAAAAATTATATTT